GAAATATGTGTTACAGAGAAACGAAAATGCATATTTTTTATTATGTTTTTCTCTTTTTTTTTTTTTTTTGAGTAATTCAAGTCATTATAAGGGGAAGTAGGGGAAGGCGAGACTCGAACCCTAGACCTTTTACCCTATTGGTAAGGCTAGGTATCAACTCTCCTAATGAGGGTTGGTTTATTATGTCTTTCTCTTAAAATATAAGAACGGCCGTGTCCCAACTTTTTTTAAATTACAGACACCGCTTGATACGGGTGTCTTACTTTTAGCGAAATTACGACACAGGCCGACACTTGTATCCGAGCCGTGTCCAAATATCGGATATGAGGACTCTTCACCCTCTAGAAATCCATACAGCATAGTTCACCGGGTGTAGCATCGGAATAGAAATATGGGTAGTGATAAATAGGCTGCGTTTGTTACCCACATAATTTCTGGCTTTCTGTCATTGAATGGCCGTGTAGCAGAATATATATATATATATATATATATATATATATATATATATATATATATATATATATATATATTGTTGGAGTAGTGGGCTTGTTTCAGAGTTTAATGGTGAGCAATTATGGCGTTTTAGACCATTTTGCCACCTCATCAGTGAAAGTTCAACCAATTTGGAAGCGATCTTGGTGCCCTTTCCAAACACCATTTATTGTACGTACACCCATCTCTACCTAACAATTACTCTTTCAAGAAATTTCAATTACTCATTCAACAAATTCTATAAAGGATTAAAGTCAAGTCTCTCTATTCCACAATATATATATACTCCTTTCGTTACTTATCAAGTGTCGTTTTTAGCTTTGCATAAATATTAAGAATCTCAATAATTGTGTCTTGATTTTAAGGGAAAATAAATTAGAAAGACTAAAATTACCTTGATCATTTACTGATGTGATAAAAAAGAGTTAACGTAACACCTAAAGTTGAATAAATAAGGCTAAAACAAGAAAAAAAAAATGCATTTAATGCAGTATTGAAAATCTAAAGAGAGAAATAATATGAAACAATTTTTTTCTAAAAGATAGTTATTATGGAACAAATAGAGTATAATAGTTCTTTTAACAATTTCCCATGTATTAAAACTTAAAAAACTCAATAATTGTGTAATTAGTGATTTTAAAGAGCAATATATATTTATAAATTAAAATACGTACCGTTGTCCGACTAATAAGGAGAGGAAAATGAGTTGAGAAGATAGAACGTTGGACAGCGTTGAGCGTTGAGTAGTTAGTAATGCCTCAATTGTCTTATTTGTTGGAAAAATTAGGTTTGTACCCAACCAATTCTAATAAAATATTTAAGTGGATTTCGTTCATTAGAAATGGAAATAAAATATATATTTACGTTGTACGTTTGGCGTTTCGAGTAGATGAATCTAATATAGTTAATTTTTCAAAATCGACTTTTAATGAATAAGAAATTAATATATAAAGATGGACATTTAAATAAAATTATTTATGAAAAATAAGAAGTGAAAATACACTGTCCCACATTGGAAAGTAATTTAATGACTGCACGATGGAAGATGGATAGATAGAGTATAATTACTTACCAAATGTGAGTTTAAGTGCAAAACCACATACGTGCTGCTGCCGACCTGTGAGTTTGCCCTGACTTGTGTGCCAAAGGCCTCGGGGCTGTGCAATGTTTGGTTTGGAGTTGAGTCTGTTTTGTATCCAAATCAATAAGTTTTGTTGACTTAAAATTAAAATTAGCTAATCGGAGCACGACATGTGTCCTCGGGTGACATCATTGTCCAGTAGGCGGACATGTTCGTCTTCGCGAGCGGCAAGTGACGCCTCATCATCCGAAAGGTGGCTATTTAAATCGAATTGGTGCTTGGTCCCTACAAAAAGATGACACGCACTCATTTTGTTCGATGTAATTCGAGTCTTGTTGTGTTGCAAAATTCGAACCCCAAAGATTAAACGTTGGGGACAATTGCTTACGAACCAAAACACTTATACGAGCCAATATTTCTAGAAAAAGAATCCAATCTTGCCTCAACTTATTTTCCGTTGTTCTAAATTGCATTTCAAAATATAGATCGATAATAACATCATCTTCATCATTCGTGTCTATAATTACTCGTTATAGTCTATAAGTTTATAAATTTTTTAACTTGAATTAAATCTCTTTAAGGTTGGATGAAATATTTCATTCTTAGAAATATTTTTCTTATAATTATAATTTTTTTATTAAATTATAAAATTTATAATATACAAAAATAATATTCGCAACCGAAAAATATATAACTTATAAATGCATAACTTCAAAATTACTATTCCTAAGAAGTAATAATTTATAATAATACACAAATAATCATTTATATTTATTTTGTGAAATGACTTGAATTTAGAAAACATACTTATTGTTTTGTACGAATGCATCAAAACCAATAAAAAAAAATGTAGAAATGAAGTGTAGAATGCATGATTGATTACTTGTGTTATCTTCTTATCTACTGCCGTACTACTTCTCTTAACTCTTTTCTCATGGAGTTTTCAACTTTTCTTATTCTTCATATTCTTTTTGTGACTACTAAATAAAAAAAAAATTAAAAACCATTTCAAATTCAGATTGATGAACTAAATATTTATGGAGTTCGGGGACACTGCCTCCGATCTTTTTAAGACCGTCACAATAAATACCGTAAAAAATAAATAATTTTAAACTTTAATTAAAATACTACATATTAAACATAAGATAGAACTAGAAAAAGTGACAACTTCACTTTTTTCCTTGTAATAATGGCAGAACGATAGAGAATATTTAGTAAGAGTTAATGTTAAAAAAATTCAAATCATAATTCATCTTTTGAAGAGGAAATTAATAAATATTATTTTCCTTTTTGAAAAGGTGGAGCATGACATTAATAAATCTAAAATAAAAATAATGAAACAAAAAATACATTTAAAATAATTAACAATGTGTTTTGGAAGGCCATGGCCCCTCTCTTTCCCACTTATATATGTTTGGAGACGGGTTTATATGAACTCGATTTTCAAGTCGCGAAAAATATCAAAAATCAAATTAGGCCCGACCAATTTGAGTCTAAACTTAAACTCGTTGCCATCCATATATCCGAAACCTCTCGTTTATTTAAGAAAATGATGATTTAATCCCAATGTATTGATCTGAAGGATATGGATTGATGTTGTGTGTCTCGTTGTTTTAAAAGTTTCGAGTGTGTGCATATATCCGAAGAATAGACTTTATTCAATCAATTATTATAAGTTGATGCATTTGCAGCACAATTACAAATCATCTCAATGTTCTTACAACTGAATTTAAATAAAAATAACAAGTTGACAAATGTCTTGTGCAACATTAAGTTACAAAAGTCTTGCAATTTATACATCAATGCTTTTGAGATTATAACTTATAACAATTTATTTTGAAGGAAGTAAAAATAAAAATTGTATTTGCAAACACTTAAAAACAATCATAGAAACATACATGTCTTTTTTTCTTTTTTGGGATCAAAATGTAAATATTATAAATCAAAAAAGTCGTAGACAATTACATTGGGCATACCCGAGGAGATTGTAGAACCTACTAATGAATGCAATAACTGAAAAAGAAAACATACGTACTAAATCATGGGATAAACCCAAAAACCCTAGTCACTAGATCTTCGACTCTTCAATCATTGGTGCATAAGGTTGTCCGGTTGTCAGCCCGTCCTCGAATTAGCAAGCTCCTGGTGTTGGCTGAACATTGCAGAAAAAAAACGTGTGTTTGAATATTCCTTGTTAGATCTTTTGGAGGAGTTTCAATTTTCTCAAATTTCCACTTGTTCCGAGCCTCCCAAATGTGATATACGATGCTAGCCAGTGCACATCGTTTCGTCTTGCTACGGTATGACTCCGTGCGTCCTTCTTGAGCCACTTGAGTGCTGCATCCAATGTGTCGGTCTCCGGCTGGTCCCCAAGTGGATAACTATAAACATACACGATTAAATCTTACTCAATAGAACTTACCCGGTCTAGAATCGAACAAATCAATAACCAATAGATTCAGGTTCAAATTCATTGAATACAGTTCGTACATAGCCTCTACTATTAGATGTCTATGGTTCCATTTCTACATTTCCCCTACTTCCCAACTTTGATACATAATTTGAATTTTTGTCTCCATAAAAAAAAATCATTAAAACGTAGGACCTCCACATATTGTCTCTTTTTATTAGTACTATTTTATGTACCATAAAAGCGCAACTACTCCAACTAGTGAATATGTTAGCAAATCCCAATAAAGTTGAACTATGTTTTTCACATATTTTATTATTTTATTTAGCAGAAGAAACAACCAATCAAAGCTCTTCATTAAAATCAAAATATCAAAATCCGCTTTTCAGATAAACTCTCTACTCCAACTGCATTTCATAGTAGGGCAAATTAAAGTCAGTCCTCCGAGGTAACTTCAGTTCTCCGAGGTAAGGCCAAATTACGAAAAAAATCCATTTTGTTTGGGTAATACAGTCGCCCCTCCTTTTAAATATTTTCGATAAAATTTATGTAATTCGGTTATTTACCGAACCAAATCGTATATTCGGTTCGGCAAACTGTATGAAATGTGGTGTACGAAATTCGGTTTAGTTTTACCGAATTAACATCCCTAAATTTACTCCTGAAGGAGTTTTTCGTAAGATAATACATAGTTGAGGAGGATAACTGTAATTACCCAAATAGGAAGGGGTTTTCGTAATTTGACCTTCACTCAGGGATGACCATAATTTGACCTTCATAGCATTATTGCACAAAGAGGTTAGTTCCACCTTCTTTGATTGGGGTTTACAATTATTTAATTTCTTACCTAAGTACTAGTAGGATATTATTATTATTGCAAATTTCTAACAACTCTCATCAAGTGTGGCAGTACTCAAGTGCAGTAGTAGTACTTCTGTGAGTGGTTGCATGTACAATTTACTTCCATAAATGATGTACTCAATATTATAATTTTAGCAACACAACAAAATAAAATCATTTTTGTCAAAACATTTCCACCATATTTCACTTGATAAATATCTCTATAACAAATTCATGAACCGGCCTCAGTCGAATAGCAATGATTCGACGCCGATTTCCTCGAAACCTAGGAATAAACTAGATTTACAAATCACTCGAGCATTCATTCGGCAAATCGTTAAGTTACTTCAAGTATTCCGTATTTATCGAACACTGAATCAATACAGTTGGGGACCAAAACTGGTGGAGCAAAACTTACTGAAAATCCAAAACGAGGAAGAAAACAAAAAAAAAAAAAAATGCTCTTATGCAAATACCTCGTACTGCAAAATCGAAATAAACTCTTGCTTAAACGAAGACAATTTCTACCGACTTAATTCAGCTCCACCTCCTGCGATCCTCATCCTCATCAACAGGAGTATACCAAGAGGGCCGACGCTTCAAATTGCTCAGCCTATAATTCAAAAACACCTCTTCGTTACATATTTCTCTAGTCGCCACAAGAACAAGACTCTTGATAATCGGAACATCCACAACTTTACTACTCGATTTCCACGGTTTGAACCAAAAGCTGCCGAATTTCTTCATCGCCACGTCACCTCCACTTCCAAACGAGATATTCGGAATGTAAGTCCTCATATCCTTCTCGCTCAACGGGAAGTCATAAGGGCAGACCATTACATTGGGATCCGCACCCTTTGCCGGATGGTTCGCAAAATGAGCAAAAGCCAACGGATTCCTCCTCTCCAAAACAACCCCTTTACCGCCAACTCGTGCCCTGTTTAATGGCTTACTTAGCAGCTTCCACACTCGATCCGACCCGTTTTGACCACCTTCGGAATTTAATATAGGCTGTGTCGGTGTAGAATCCGCGTTAGTCCATCCGTCCCATATTTCACGAGTTTCCCCGCCGTTACCCCAAGGCTGAGCGTTTATTACAGTTCCGTCGTACCTTGTAATCAAGTACGGGTTCTGCAAATCCACCCTCGGATACCCGGGGATATAACGGTAATATGCCGGGGAGAAAATGACACCGGGGTATATAGCTATTACGGACCCCACGTCGGCTTCACCGTCCAAGTATAACCCTAGTCCAGCTTCCTTGTGTTGGATTTGAGACGGCTTTATTTCGAGGGTGTAACCCGTGAGATCTTTTAGTTTCTGCGACAGCTCAAAACGCTTTAACGGTTTCGTTTCAGCCACTGCCGCACCTGATTATATACATACATATATATAATATATTTCATCAAATTCGGACACCATAGTAAAAAGCCATTTGCTAATATGTAAGAAGTTTAATGGGGGTTTGAATATTATTACTTACCAGGATTATCATGCGAAGATGGTGTCATACCGACAGCAAGACCAAGACCACTGCGTCGAGGAGCTGTGTTTCTTTCTGAAGACGGGTTAATTGTGTCGGCAAGTTTCGGATCAGGACGAAGAATTTCATCCATGTATGTGCAGACTGTATTCATTTGTGCATGAATATTTTCTTGAACTTGCTTTTCCTGCTCTGCTACAGAGGCCTTTGTGGCCATGTCAATGATCTCGTCTGCATCTGCTTCTTCGGCATTTTTTCCCAAGCGTTTGTAGCTGACATTATTAAACGAACCACATTGATATTGCAACAAATAAGCCAAAATATAACGAGCTATCTAGTCGTAAGATTTAGGTGAAGTTTACATCTTAGCTTCCAGGACAACTGCTATCGCTCAACGGGTATATTTTAAAGCAACGTTACGATAATTAACAACATCAACCTTTTCAGAAAGCTCCAAATTATACAAAAACCTAATTGAGTTTGGCTCACTATTAAAACATACAGATACCCTCGTTACAGTTTAATTAAATTCGCAATTTGAGTTGTATTTCAGATCCAATGCATAGCTACGATTAATAGTCGATGAAGATCTAAGATATCACCAACAAAATATAATTTTTGACAGTAATATCTCGAACATTCGTCAACTATTTTCAAATATACGATTCTATTTCCGAACAAGCTACTTCAGCAAATGCTATTACGAGATCTTACAACTTACAACACACACGATAGTTCGTCGTTATACTCAACGGTTAAAGTAAGTGCTATTTTTTAAGAGTGATTCAAATATCAAACACAAGCATGTAATAAAATTTCACTAGAAAATGTCTGAATCAAACTTGAATAAAATGTTGGGATCAACACAGAAACGAAAATTCACCTTGTATAAAGAAAAAGTCGATTCATATCGGCTTCAAATTGAAGGTGCCTTCCTTGCTTGGCGAATGTGGGACTTTTCGCAAGCACCTTGACTGCCTGAAAATTAAAACAATTTAATAATCCAGTTAAAATCGAATTAAATTACCAATCAACAACAACAACAACAGTAAGCAAAATTGATGATTTCGGAATAATCCGAAAGAGTTTCTCTTTCGGAGATTCAAGGTAGATTAGATACATCATACATGGGCTGCTAATCTGAAGCAATTTCTCAAATTAATAATGATGGAGATTTGTCTTCATTTTTGAACGGGATTATACGAAAAAAAAAAATTACCTCTTGAAATTTCTGAAACAAAAACGCCATGGTTGCAGAAAGTTGTCTCTGTGTATTACTTCTGCTGAGTTGAATTGGGATGCTCGATATTGAGAGTTCCGAAAGTGAAAAACCAGAGGCGACTGGGTGAAATCAGGGGACCCTTTTGCAAATAGTGCAAATGTTGGGGTTTATTCTATTGAGTACTTTGGGTTTGGAGGTCGAATTTTATATTTATAACATTTAGGGCTGGGTTTTTATTACCAAATTACCCTACCAAACCGTCGCCCCGTAACGAACCCTAATGATTTTGTACCGTAATATTTCTAACGAATTATTACCATACCCCACACTACCGTACCAAAATATTTTGGTAGGGCAAGGGTACTCAATATTATTAAAATGGTACTACATTGTAACGAAATATTATTAGTAAATAAAATTTGGTTTAAATAATAATATTGTCAATGACTCTATTTGTATTGTCAAGGACAATATAATTAAAATGTACTGTCTACGGCAATACAATTGCGTTAATGTGCTGTCAACGATAATATAATTTCGTCAATGTAATGTTAATAACGGTATAATCACTGTTAATGACAGTACAATTACGGTCAACATTTATCGGCGGCGTAGAAAAACGGATAAAAATTTTAGGGAAAAAAAAATCACTAGAAAAAGTCAATGCTGAAAACCGGCGGAAAAACAAAAAAGAAAATTCAAAAAGTCAACGCCGAAAACCGGCGGAAAAAAATAATTTCTGGAAAAAAAAGAAGTCAAGATTGGATTTTTATGGTCAAAATTAGATTTTTGTGGTCAAAATTGATTAAATTGGAGTTACAATTAAGAATTTGGTGTAAAGGTTTGGGGATAATTTTGTCATATACATTAAATTTTCATTTTTATGTAATGCATATTAAATGGATGGGCTTCTTAACGAAAGAGATATAGGCCAAAAAAGTTCACACATTGTCCAGAGGTGTGTAAAATACTAAAATATTCCATCATATTTTAATATGCTTAAATTTAATCTTTTAATTTAATTTAACTTCAACTTAACACCAAATTTCATAAATTATTCAATTTTGACCCAAAACTCAATTTTGAGTACAATTTTGCCCGTCATCGCCGTTGATCGCCGTGTCCTGCGTTGACTTTTTTTTCGTTTCGAATTTTAGATTTTGTTGCCTCGTTTAAACATCAATATTGTTATGGTTGACAGTAATATTAACTATATTACTGTTAAGCACAGTTATATTAACTATACTGCAGTTTAATACAGTAATATTGCTATATTAGCACAGTAATATTAACACAACAAAAATCATTATTATTGTTTAATAGAGTAGTATTAATATGTTCACCGTTCAACAAAGGTAAACATAATAAAAATCCAAAAGAATTAATATTGATGTAGTTGACAGTAATATTACTATCATCGACAATATTATCACTGTAACAACAGTAATATTACCGTCAACCACAGTAATATTATTGTATTTACAGTAATATTACAATAGTAGATAGTAATATTATTACGTTAATCCGTCAACAACTCAAACAAAACAAAAAAAACAGAAAAAGAATAGTATTGATGTGGTTGACAACAATATTATTGTGTTTGCAGTTATTTTACCGTCAACGACAAAATAATATAATTATGTTGACTTGTCAACAAATCAAACCAAATAAAAATAAGAAGCCAAAAAAATAATAATATTGTCGCTGACTGTAAATGTTCTGTCAACGACAGTATAAGTACGTTAATGTAGTGTCAACGACAATACAATTACGTTAATGTACTGTCAACGACAATACAATTACATTAATGTACTGTCAACGACAATACAATTATTGTTCGCGATGGTATAATTACTGTTAATGACAGTACAATTACGGTCAACGTTTAACGGGCGTAAAAAATAGATATAAATATTTGGAAAAAAAACACTAAAATAAAAAAAGTCAATGCCGAAGTTCGGCGGTTAACGCCGGAAATCAGCGACGGAAAAAGCAGACAGAAAAA